GAAAATGTTAAATATGTTTATGTAATATGGAAGTGGAAGTATTTGAGATTCAGTTTTGGATCTTAAAATATTTTTATAATTTAATTTGTTGTAGGCCATAAAAGTGACAACAATTTATGGGTGCTATTAACATTTACATATTTTCAAATAAACACATATATATATTGATTATACTACGATATATTATAAGTAGTTCAACTGAATAACAATTTTCGATTGACCAAACCGGTATTTTGGTTACTGCCATTATCAATCAATCTATATATATTATAAATGATCTCTTCATTTAAAAAGGTTTTGGATTTATATATCTGTTCTCTGCACAATACAATAAAGTAGATCGAATTTGAACTAGATTGATATTACTATATATCTTCTCCTTCACATACAAATCGTTGTAAATGCACCAAAAAAAATTATCCCGTGACTTTGTCAATGAAGTTGGACTCAATATCTTTTATCAAATCATTCATCAAAAAAAAAGGTCATTGCATTAATCGAGATTAATCTAATTTTAATACTGCACACACATCAGTTCCGGATTAATTTATAGAAAGATATTTGGAACTAGCCATATTTTACTAAGGGTTCCAAACGCCTACCTACCTTTTGTTATTCTGATTTGAACGTCCTGTTATCTATTGCGATCATTAGAGATGTAGCGATGAGCACATCCCTGTAGATGCAAATATGTAAAATAAAAATGATCATCAATAACATTATTGGGAATGTATATCCTTACGAAAGAGGTAATAAAACTCCGTAAAGTAGGTTCTATATTACTTTTTATTGACGCAACAGGGCTTAAAGACCTACTCTAAATCCCAGAAGGGGGCATAATAGACCCGACAATTAGAGTGTCACATCCCCTAGCAATAATAATAATAATAATTATCAATAAAATAATCCAGGTTCTAAGTTTGAATAGTTTGAGTTATTAAATCTTATGGATTTTGTGTTTGACAGTGTTGAATATTAAACTGGTGGTCTTTGCTAGTAATTGAATGTTTTTTAAAGATTTATGAATCTAAATAAGAGCTATTAAGTCGTATCGACCTTGTTTTTAAAGGTATGGATTACCAACCACAACAGTTACTTCTATTGAAACTTGCTTTATAAAATTGGTGTAATACATATGGTTCGCCACTTCTGACTTATGAACGTCTGTGACAATGTCGACAAGAGTAGCCATATTTTAATTCTATGTTGCAGTTATTCTAGACCAATTTGACCAGACAAGTAAGAATAACATAAGGACAACAAAACATATCCAAAGCACAATAGGATAGAGTGGTCAAACTGAGGAGATAGAAGATAGAAATGATGAAGGGGTGAATGAGAAAGGTTGAATATAATCTATATTTAGATGGAAGAACCTTGCCATTTCAATGGAACTTTTACAATAATGACACAAATTTTATAGTTTTGATTTCTTCGCTCCATTCGTAACATTCGAATTGAGGTTTTTGAAGCGTTCTCCTTCATTCCATTTATTTTAACAATCCGGAATTAATATTCACATAGTTAATGTTTAGAATAGATCTCGATAAAGTACACTATAATATTGCTGCATGTTGCAGTTAATCAACTTCTTAATGTTATCAGATATTACCGGAAAAGTATTGATCACAGCCAGTATTGTAATAAATTATGTTACTAAGATTGGAACTAAGATCACAATAATATTTTAATTTCTTAGAACTGCAATTATAACATAATTCAATTCAATTCAACAGCTTTAATTAGATATTTCTTATACGACTATCCATCCATAAATTCACAAAAGTGCAAAAATAAAGTCCACTTTATTGAAAAAATTACTTAATTGACGCTACGGCACTCGCTCGATCGAAAAGCACTTCAGAGCTCCAAAAATCAAAACAAAAACGTTTTTGGCCAATTTGCGAAATATTGCTTTCAATTGTTATTCGAAGCAAAACATGTACTCAATTAATGACACAATAGAGCACTCTATTTCCAGTTTACAGCTCACCTGGTCACTTCATTTGGCAGGGGGTCAATCAGCAAGTAGACACAAGTTCGGCGCAACACTCTCACCGCAAAACAATAGCTCAATTTGCTAAGCGCCAAGCATTTTGCACTGCAAACAAAATAATTCACTTGGAATTTTTTTCACATTATTTTCCACTTTTTTTTTCTTTTTTTTGGCTACCTAATTTTGTGGATGAATTTACAGCCGAGCACAGTTGGTTGTTTAGACCAGGTCAGAACCGGTGCCGCGTGGTGTTAGCACGATTATGCACATGTTAAACCAGCTGAAGGTGTGCGTTGAAATTTGGCTCGAAAGCCACAAACAATCTTTTTCATTGTTTGTTTATTTAATCGTTTACGAACTATCGACGCGCTTGTATCTTTCAGTTTCGATTTCATATCTGCGCGGCGCTCAGATTGTTTGGTTTGGCTTGCTGGCTCGGCATATGGATTCGATGACTTTCGTTTTTGGTTTTAGTATTTAGCCAACGATTTTATTCAATTAATTTTGCAACTCATAAATCGCGCTGCTATTTGCGTTTGAAGCTCGTAATTCAGTTTGTATTTAAGCCGCAAACAATACGACACGTTCAGATTGACGGAATGTCTTCGAATTTAAGTGCGGTTCGGACATGTGATTTGTGATCTCTCAACATAAAAATATTTCTTTGCTTTACAAATTATAATTATATAATTTAACTTACATATTTAATGATTTTGGAGCTTAAAGTATTTGTGAGAACTTTAATGCATTGTTTTTAACTGTGGCTTCACAGAATATATCGGTTTTAGTAGATGCTTTAGACTTGGCATTAATCGTCAATATGAATCCAAAACAAACACTTAAGCTAATGGGTTTGTTGGTGCAACTATCGCTTCTCTTTGAAATGCATCTGCATCTTATATATGCTACTGAAGTTCAATCCAAAAATCCAACAATGAACATGGATATGTTTGATGAGGATATAACAAGTACCTCAGGTTTGTGCTGCAGAAGTGAAACTATAAATAAATTAAAAAGTTATATTGTTTTTGCGAACTTTTAATTTAAATTACTACAATTTAAATTGTATTAATTTAAATTTAGTTTATATAGTTATTTCCCATATATATTTTGACAACATTTCGAAGTCTATTTGACTTCTTCCTCAGGATGTAGTGTATATAATAATATATATAATTATAATATATAAATTAATTACATATAATTATATATGTTATATATATATTTATTTATACATTATATTATATATATTACTATATATAGTATACATATAATTATATTTAATTATAATATATATATTATAATATATATATAACTGATTGCGTAAAAATAGGCTAAGAACTACTTAAACTGGAAAATTTAGAAAAGAATTTTTAGTCGTTATCGAAACAATTTATACTCAAAATAATTCGATAAAATATATATGTATATATATAAATAAATTAATTGATAAAGTGGCATGATTCCAAAATTCCGAACATGTGCATAAGACTGGATTTTGCTAAAGTCAGTTATTTAAAGCAACACTTTGCACTACACTAAATAGTATGTCAATATAGCTTAGTTATCGGGATAGTGGGCTTTAAAATGACATCTTATGCATCTCTGAAATAATACCAAAAACCATTAGTAAAATGATCAACATTGGTCAGCATATTCTATATATAAATCTGTATGAGTTTCATTGGCTTCTAAATAACTCCATTAAAAACTTTGTAATCGATATCGTCTGTTGCTATATATAAAGAATTTAATATTCTTTTAGTGATTTCTTTTGTCTAGACTAATCAAGCGAAATGTGTTACCATTGACAAGTTGTCCATATTAGAACTGTCCGACTAAGAGAAATTAAAAGTGCCCAGTTACACTAACTCGGAATAACCTCAACATAAGACATATTCAGGTATTTTGTTACCTATTATAAGAAGTATTCTAGAGTTTACCAAATAAGAAGTACTTTTTATTGTAAATGGAACATTGGGTACTGAAGATCTGTTTAAGTCATTTCTGTTTACTGTAAAGTTTTACTATAATCTTTATATGACGTACTTAGGATAGAATAGCGATTACAAAAAATAGGATCACTTAGATCACAAATCGATCACTTAGATCACAAATCGATCACTTAGATCGATTAATTATACTTATAATACAGGGTTGACTATATAATAGTTAGACCTACTTATTTAACAAACACAACATTAAAACAACATTTTTTGCTATTCAAATTAAAAATTATTTAACTTGGCTTAATGAGATTTCATTCCATCACTTTCTGAAGATTATATCGCACAAGTGGCCACCCGTATGGCTACCGAGCCACCAGCCACTTACCATACAATGACAATTTTTTTACGTCTATTTTCTGGTCAATATTGGCCTTAAGTTTGTCTAGCGTCTCTTGCTTGTTGAAATATAAATTTGACTTCAAGTAAACCTAGAGGAAAAAATCTGGCGATGTTAAATCGGTCAGTCAAAATCAGCAAGGGTATCAAGCAACTGTGGAACAATGGCTTCAAAAAATCTATTGTAGCACCAGCTGTAGAAAGAGGTGCCATCTTATTGAAACCGACTGAAAATTGGGTTATCGTAGGCTGATAACATATCGATCACATTAATATATTATTTATATTCCTTACATGCTTCTTACTTACCTCTTTTGAGCATAAGGTATAAGTCTGGTTTTTTTGTGAAGAACCAAATATAAATCACAAACAAACAAGGATGCAGTGTTCCTTACTTATGATAGTTAGCTTTACATTTTGTTTATTTTTTTTTTAAATATTTAATAGAATTTAAAAAAAACGAAATATCTTTAAAAAAAAAAAGCTTTACTTCAATAAGCTACAGATGAAGCTATAAATATCTACCGCTGAGCGTTATAGGCCGTTTCCGCCTGCTTTTTTTTAAATTCATTTAATTTCTTTCACAAGTCTATTAATTATAAAATAATTAATTAAAATATTCATACAAATTAAACACCAACTGAAATATTCACCTAATAAAAATGAAGATTACTTTTTCCGCAGATTACGATCAGTTTGGCACAAACACAGATTATGACGAAGATGTAGACGGTGAGGATCCAGAAACTATGCCACGTTTATTTCAAGGCGATATAGCTATTGATCCTTATACTTACATCTCTTTAAGACTTGGTGTAAATCCAATGAAACATCCGAAGCGTTTATGGCCAAATGCCACAATACCATTCGAAATAAGTCCACTTTATTTAAGCCAAGAACGTGCAGCTATAATACGTGCATTGAAAACGTTTAATTCATTGACATGCGTTAAATTCATACCTTATGATGGTGAAACAGATGACTATGTTTTAATATCACCGCCAGAAGATGGACCACAGGGTTGTTGGTCCTACGTTGGTAAGCAAGGTGGCGAGCAATTAGTGTCGTTGCAAAGACCAGACGACACAAGTTTGCATTGCTTTAGCAGTGAAGGTCGCATTATGCATGAACTAATGCATGCCATCGGTATTTACCATGAGCAATCTCGTGCTGATCGCGACAATTTTGTAAAAATCCATTGGGATAATATCGTGCCAAAATTTCGTAAGAACTTTAAACTTATATCGCAAAAGAAGGGCAAATACACTTTTGATTATGATTACAATTCCGTTATGCATTATGGTGAATTTTATTTCAGCAAAAAGAAAGGTGAAAAACCAACTATGACTCCATTGCAGCCAGGTGTACGCATTGGACAACGTAGAACTATTTCCAAAACCGATTGCTTGAAAATAAACGATCTTTATGGTTGCCTAAAGGGACGACAAGCTAAAATGTACAAAAATTTTTGTAAGTTGTTAGCTCTTTAATAAAATAATATTATTTGTATATATTTTATTTTTTAATAAATCATATTGATTTTGTGAACACTGAAATTGTTTTGTTACTTTGTGCCGCCAGCTTTAAAAATGTAAATAAAAGTGCACAGCGGCTGCGCAGAAATTTGTCAGGAAAGCAGTGTTGGAAAAAGCATTTATTTTAAATATTGTAAAGAATGCTAATAATATTAATTAATATTAAAGGTTCTTTACACTAATAGCATTTAATTAAATGCGACATGCATATGTAAATTTTAATCTATACTACATAACACATTTGAAATTATTAATATTTGCGTATTTTTTATAAAATTTTTTTTATAGATATTCTTCATAAAATTGATCAATTGTGTCATTTTAATCCTTGTCAAAACTTTATGTAATATATAAAAATTTTTGTTGAATTTTAAATAAAAGTAGGCTAACAATTTATTAAAAAAAAGTATGTATCAATATTATTTTTATAATAAATAAATATTATTAGAATTTTATAAAAACTTTTCGACTTTCATCATTCAAAATTTTGGGCAGATTTTTTGAACTTTAAAACATGCTTATTAATGGCTTAACTAAATTTGCAATGAAAGTTGCAACAGGACAGTCACTCAGATCTCCATTGGTTCGTAACATTGCAAAAGCAGCTGCAAAACGAGAAATCTTTGAGGTGGAGACTATGGAAGATTTTAACAAAGAAGTTATTAAAAGCGATAAACCAGTCATAGTGGATTTTTTTGCTAACTGGTGTGTTCCATGCAAGAAACTAACCCCTTGTGTCGAAAGCATTGTCAGGGAAAAAGCTGGTAAGGTAAAGTTAGCAAAAGTGGACATTGATGAACTTTGTGAATTGGCCTTGGATTACGATGTTGCTTCTGTGCCAGTGCTAATGGTTGTGAAGAATGGCAAAGTGGTTAAACGTATGGTGGGACTACAAGATAGAGAAATCTTACGCAAGTGGGTTAACCAAGCTATGTCGGAATCAGAATAGATACATTACTATTCCGAGGCGGATTCCTGAAGACTACATTTAATAGTTCTAAAAACTTTGCTGCCATTTTAAAAAATCATCACATCTGAATTTCTGGCATTTCCTCGACAAGGATGTCTGAATAATAATATTAGCAGCATGACATTCTTTGTTTGATTTGTTACGATTAAGTGGGTTGCAGCATTAAAACCTGCCTGGTGGTATCGCACCAAATTCTTTTGTAACTGCTTTGCATTTACTTATATGCGAACAATACCGTGCAGCCGTATCCTGACATCATTTCGGTCCTACTAACAACTGAATGTAACGTCAAATAGTCTTATAAATGCATTTTCGTCATCAATATGGACAAAACAACAGTTCCCTAGTTACAGAAACTGCTTCGAATATCTTTGAAGCTTTTTATAAAGATGCGTTTCATTTGCTGTAGGAATGCCAGCCTTAACGTATTCTTCAGTGTTTTTTGTGGCAGCAAATGTAAACAGTTTTTATAATCATCGAGAAGTAAGCTCGTATCTTTATCTGCTAAAGTCATCGCGTTCATCAAGATGGACTATAAATAATTTAAGTTGGACCACATTGCTATAAAAATACTTAACATCTGGTGTTATATACATCATGGAAGCATGAAATCAATTAATCTGCCCCGCAAATAAATTTTTTTAAAAGTTTTTTGTGGTTTTTTTTACATTTCATATATGCATTTTTGATATCAACCTAAATACAACATTTAAATTCATTAATAGTCTTTACTGATGTGACAAACTACAGAAAAAATCTAATACATAACCTTAAGCCGTGTGCGAGTTCGAGTTAATTGAAGTAAAGTAAATTGAAATTTCCTAGGGATTTTTTGCACTGCATTTATGTATATATTAATTTTTTGTACTTATTTATTGTTTTTGATTTAAAGTTTTCAAATTTATTTATTAAATATCTTATAAAATTTTTGCAATGGTAATATCTGATTTACTTAATTTTTATCTAATTTATCCTACTCTAAATTCTGGTAAAGACCAACATTCACTGCGTTACCGACATAATTTATTATTTCCCTCAATTTATCATTAGTTTACTCGAATAATAGTTTTTCGTTCTTTGAAGAATGCTGTGCGCTATACTCTCCCTTGTTGTTGAATATTTATATGTAATTACAATTAAAAATATGTTATGGTTTTACTTGCGTTTGTTCTTAAATTAAGATTTCAACAAAAATGTTACAATTATAAATTTATTTAGATAAAAATCAAACACTGCAATATAGCATTAATTCAAATAATTTGTGACAGTACAACCCACCAATCATTTGACAGATAGTATAAATACAGCGGCTAATGTACCAGAACAAGTATTCATACAAACAGCGGCTACTATATTTATATGTATGAAATATGAATCAAAAACGAATTGAAACAAAAAATTTCTCTGATTGGAATTATTTTATATCGCTTTTATGTATGATACAAGTAAATAAAATATTGAACAAAAGATATATATAAATCGATAACACATAAAACAATTTTCTGTATATATAATAATGTATGATAAAACCATGATGTGGTCGTTTCAGTTGGTGTAACTGATTTATGCACGTGAAATAGCTTATTTGTTTACAATTTACATATAAAATATGAAAATTATTTCAATTTTTGATAATTTTTCTTGTGAGAAATTTATTTTTAAGGGTTATATACAATATTTTTGGCATTAAATCTCTTTATTTATTTATAATTAGCTCATTTATACGAAAACTCTTTGTATGGTAAATTTTTCGTATTAACGGTCTTAAATAGCAAAACTGCACAAATGAGACTATTGGAAACATGGTTTTATAAAGGTAACATAAAAACTAAAAGAAGTTCTACCCTCTGTTTAATATTTTACTCTTAAAAGTAATACAGTTTTTAACATGGTATCCAATTATTAAAAAATTTGATATATCATATGTTTTTAATCAGTTTCTGATTTAAACTACAGCATTAAACCACAGGCCATCACCACTATTGGTCAATTTTTTTCTGTTTAGTATTAGTTTTTCTGTTTATACTACCGACACACCCAAAATTGTAATAAAACTGAGTTGTGTGAACGCAAATGGGCGTGAGCTATAAGGAAACTAAATGAATACTAATTAGATCCCATATCCAAGCAACGGCGTGATCTAATTAGGCAATATAAAACTATCTTGTTCTTAAAAACGTACCTAATTACTTGCCTGATTCAAAAGCCTAAATGTATTATTGAACGTTCTTTGTAGTTAAAAAATATAGTGGTGTCACCAACAGTTACTGAAAATCAAAGTGTATAGTCTTCAAATAAAATTTTAGCTATATTAAAATATAATTTAGTTGTAACTTTGGGCATGTTATAATTGCAGTCACGAAGTGATAGTTGCAAAATGAAGTGACCTGTCAGTGCTAGGGAATAATAATTCCCGTGATGTGACTGCAATCATAACGTGCCCCATATTATTTTTTCTTCTATTTGTCGGATTATTTAATCATAACAGTCTAAACATATAATATAATGGCACAATTATCGCCAATTACTAATGGTAATTCTAGCGAGTAATATTAGGTTTTCACTCACAATCATTTAACATTATTGGAAAATATTTTTTTGAATTATTGTTTAAAAAACAATGTTTATTGCTGGATATTTATCATTTTAATTGGAATAGTGTAAACTTGCTATAAGTGTATATAATACAAATGTCACTAAACTTTTTTAGATCTAAATGGGTATTGACAGATATTAAATAAACATAAAAACATATTTTATTATTAACGAGATAAAATTGTTATTATGTATTGTTAATTTGCAAAACTTTATTTATTGAAAATAATAATGTACAAATGTAGCAAAATTTCAAACCAACTACTGTGCACAGCGGCGTTGTGCTAGTATACAGCGGTTATACGTTTCATTTCATTTGTTTCGTGCACATTAAATAGTTTTCAGTTCTCGCTTTCATACACTCTTTCGTTGCCATGCGTCATTCCACTTTTGGACGAGGTTAGGTAAGAACGTAGTGTGCTGTTTGACGTTATGCACGAGTTTTTTATGTTGTGATAATAAATGAAAAATTAGATTTTGTGTTTAAAAATTTTATTTTGTTAAGTTTTATTAAAACATAAAAATGTTTAAAATATTAGTACAGAATTTATATAAAAGCTCGTGCGAAACGCTTTCGACACCTGCAGCTGCTACTGCTTGTGTGAAAAATTTATTGATTTCATCACCAGTAACAAAAAATACTTCTTCATCACAACGACGCCATTTTCTTTTTTCTTCTACAAACAGAAATCAAATTTTTGCTTTTCCAACTATCAACAGCAGTGAAGTGAAGGAGCCAAAAATCTGCACAAAATTGAATCAGCAGCAACAAAGCAAAAAGCAGATTTATCAAAAAGTATTCAATCACAGCGGAATACAGCAGAGCTCCATCAGTAGCAACTTCTATAGAGGATTTCATCTAACCTGTATAAGACTCTTAGAAGCGGAAACACTTCCAGCGGAAAAGCAAGCATCTAAAACCAAAAGGAATAGTTTATATATAGACCCAGACGAAGAAGATTATTTAGATACAATGTAAGTATAAAATAATATTTTATAATTTAATATATACGTTTTTTTTGTATCTAAAAGTGTTTTTTCGGTGACGCCATTTTATTTTTGTATGTATAATAGATTTTTATTGTTGTGTATTGGTTGGTTAAAAGACAGAAAATTATTACAACAAAAAAATTAATATTCCTAATTAAAATGTGTTGAAAGTATTCATAAATATTATTAATAACTATTGTTTATTAGTCATAATGTGTTAGTGTTAATTTCCTTCAAGTTGCTATCTCGTTTTTTTTTTTTTTATTTTGAATCACATTTCCCTAGAAAATACTAGTTTTTTCTGTATCTCGTTTTTACGTTTTATACTCCGCGCACCCTTCATCCACCTTCTTCACGCAAAGAAATTCGTTCACGTTTCTCTTCAAAATTGCCTCGTGTCGGCTTCACCTTATCATCTAGTCATGTAGCAACCAAGTGCTAAATATTCTTTTGCGTTTTATATTTATCAGAATTTAATTTTGAATGCCAAATGACGACAACTTTTTGCCTTTCTTTACTTCATTATATGCCATTTGTATAACACACACAACAAATAGTGAAATGTCTGTCTGCTTAATCAAACGGAATTACCAGTTGGCGTGTTGCTTTTCGTGTTGTACTTTTCCATACTACCTACACGCTTGCGTGTGTGTGTGTATGTATGCAGGAAATACACAAAAAAAAATATTGTGTACATACACAAATGTTTAAAGTATAAAAATTGTCGGTATATGCAATTTTTTTATACGGTGAAATTAAATGCAAAATCATCAAATTATAATTTAAAGAGTTTTAAAAATATATGAAAAATGATTTTATGGAATTGCGTTAAATATATTTGAGATAAAATATTATCAAAAAAAAAGTATATTATTATTAATAAGTTTTTATGAGTATTAACCATTGTCAATATATTTTTTTTATTATATGTCCATAACAATATAATTAAATGTTCGAACATAAAAGTCAAGTAGGGCTTTGGGTCAGTTGGCTAATGAACGCAGATTCTAAGTTTCAAATTTGGCAGAACACGGATTCGATTCCTATTACTTGTGCAGTCTCAAAAATTATTTATGCATAAATACAAGAATTATTTCCAAAAACACTGATGATGGTTACTAGGCAATACTCGAAATAGTTGTGTGGTCAGCCAAAAATTCAATTAATTAAAATAGTAGAAAAAAGAATTTTAGTTGTTGTTATGTACTTTTCGAAAAAACGTCTTTATAACAATATAATATAATTTTCAATTATAAAAATAAGCACAAAATATAATAATAGGTGTATTTTACCGCTACGAAGTGTGACAAAAAACTATAAGTCTCTTGCTTAAGTCTCTTACTAAAGTCTCTTATTAACATATTCGCATCACAACCGCAATCTGTTAATTATTATGATCTCACAAAGAAAATTCAAGACTAATCAAAGTTTGTATAATAATAAGTAATAATAATAAATAAATAATATTAATAACTAATAATAATAATAAATAAATAATATTAATAACTAATAATAATAAGTAATAATAACAAGTAATAATAATAAGTAATAATAATAATAAGTATGATAATAAACAATTAGTAAATAAATATAATAATAAAAAATTATTATAAATATTTATGATAAGTAATTATGATAATATAATAACAAGTAATTATTAGTAAATTAATATAATAAAAAATTTTTGTAAATATTTATGATAAATACTTATGACTATAATAAGTAGTTATGATAATAAATAATTATGACCATAAATAATTATGACCATAAATAATTTTGGTAATGAATAATTATGATAAAAAATAATTGTTATAAATATTTATGGTAACAAATAATTTTATAAATAATAAAATTAAATATCGAAAATCAAAAATTATTACTAGTAAATAGATGTAACTAATTCTGTTAAATAATTATGATAATGAATAATTATGATAATAAGTAATCATGATTTAGCTCAACACACTTATTCCACATCTTTCAATTTTTTTTTTATTAATTAACCTATAAAATAAATATTTTATAGTTTTGTTTAAATCAACATATTTTCAACTTCAGTACAAAATATCAACTAATATCGCAGTACTCAGCTCCATTGGAAACTAAGATTATTATACTATTCTAGTCCATTTACGCTATCAATTCAGTATGCAGTTAAGTTAGATTAAAAATTCGTAAATATTCAAAAAATATTTGTAGTGCGCTATATGGATTCTCCTAAGCGGGCCCCTAATTTTGAATCGCATTTTATATTCAGTTTGCTCTTGATAAAATATAGTATAGACAATATAAATGTTTATTTACTTATTTTTCTATCAAAACAATCTAAATTGCATTACATTTCTATTTTATTCGAATTAAAGTTTAACACGCAATGGTGTTTTTGTTATTTAAAAAGCCACAATTTGATTACATTTTTCATCAAAATGACATATAAAGTTTTCACTTTTAATAAATATTCTTGTTATTTAGTTTAAAGAATTTTATTGGTTTCATTTGTAATGCACTTTTCGTCAAAATTGATAATATTATTTATGAAAATAAATGAATAGTTATTTAAATCTAATTTATTATAGAAAATTATTTTCTCTAATATGAAGAAGTAGAGTTAAAGTCTCATTACTTTTTAATATAAATGATATATTGACCGTGAACGGACAAAATCTAATTAAGGTGGTATAGTGTACTTTGGGATTCATAATGTCACTCTGCATAATTTTTATGTTCCAATGCACGTACTAACTTGAGTTCCATAGATATTTGGGTCCGCAATATTGAAGTGCTTAGGTTTTTTCATTTAACTCGAATCCATTTCTATTACTACACAATCCTCTTCCTTCTTACACTAAATCACGTACCTACATGCTATCTGCTAGATAGATCTCTGTGCGTTAAACTCGAACGATTTACATAAACGAGCCATTGATCTATCGACCTACGTGCTATATATATATTAACATAGCAGTCTGAAATTGGCTAAAGCTTTGAAATCTTATCTGTCACTTCACTATTATTAAAAAAAATCTTTATAGAATAGAGTTATTTTTGTCAAATTAAATATTTGTTGAATAAATATTTAAATATTATATCCAAACATGTGTAAGATGTATTTATACGATAGAAGTACTAATGATCGAAAATATTTAAATCACTATAATGAAAAGCGTAGAATAAATGATAATGGGAGATCGCAAGGAAATCAGTAATTTTGTTTTAATCTATTTTTTTTCTATATCTTTCTCTATTTTTTTTTTAAATTTTCTCTATTTTTATTTTTTGTAGGGCACCTCATGATAAAAATTTCAGTGGTTCACGCGGAGGAGCACGTGGTGGTGATGATAGACGTGGTGGCGGTGGTGGTGGTGGTTCAGGAGGGTCTGGCGCCGCTAAAAGTGGTGGTTCACGATTTGGTGGAGAATCATCGTATCATGGTGTACGTAATGGTCGCATTGAGAAAAATCGTGATCGTAGACCAATGGGTGGTGGTAATGGTGGACGTAATGAAGGCGGTAATTATGGCGGTGGTAGCTATGGCGGCGGCAGTTATGGCGGTAATAGCTATGGCAATAGCGGTGGTTATGGTGGTGGCGGCTATGGTGGTGCCAAAAGCAATAACAATACTGGTGGCGGTCAAGACTTAACACTCACCAGTGTTGATTTTTCTAATTTGGCACCATTTAAGAAGAATTTCTATCAAGAACATCCAGGTGTAGCCAATCGTGCGCCATATGAAGTACAACGCTATCGTGACGAACACGAAATCACTGTCCGTGGTAATGCCGGCAATCCGATACAAGATTTTAGCGAAGCATATTTTCCTGACTATGTAACCAAAGAAATTCGTCGACAAGGTTATAAGACACCAACACCAATTCAAGCTCAAGGTTGGCCAATTGCTATGAGTGGACAAAATTGTGTTGGTATAGCCAAGACAGGATCTGGCAAAACATTGGGTTACATTTTACCCGCTATTGTACACATTAATAATCAACAACCATTACAACGTGGCGACGGACCCATCGCTTTAGTTTTGGCTCCAACACGAGAGTTGGCACAGCAAATACAACAAGTCGCTTCCGAATTTGGTTCCTCATCGTATGTGCGTAATACTTGTGTATTTGGTGGCGCACCAAAGGGCGGACAAATGCGTGATTTGCAACGTGGTTGTGAAATTGTAATTGCAACACCTGGCCGATTAATCGATTTCCTCGCTGCTGGCGCAACTAATTTAAAGCGTTGTACTTATCTGGTATTAGACGAAGCTGATCGTATGTTGGATATGGGTTTCGAACCACAAATACGTAAAATTCTCTCACAAATTCGCCCTGATCGGCAGACACTTATGTGGTCCGCTACTTGGCCCAAAGAAGTTAAACAATTGGCTGAAGATTTCCTTGGCAATTATGTGCAAATTAATATTGGTTCTCTGGAATTGTCAGCCAATCACAATATACGTCAAGTTGTTGAAATTTGCGAGGAACACGATAAGGAAGATAAGTAAGTTGTTATATGACTTTTTTTATTATGTCTTATTTTATACTTATAAAATTTTCATTTTGTTTAGATTAAAAGATTTGCTATCTGAAATATATGACACAAGTGAAAATCCTGGTAAAATTATCATATTCGTTGAAACAAAAAGGCGCGTAGACCAGTTGGTGCGTTTCATACGCAGCTTTGGCGTACGCTGCGGCGCTATACACGGCGATAAGTCACAATCCGAACGTGATTTCGTGTTGCGCGAATTTCGTTCTGGTAAATCTAACATTTTGGTAGCCACTGATGTAGCCGCCCGTGGTCTCGGTAAGTCATCAATTCTAGTTTAGCTTCGAAATCGATACATTGTTGTTGCGTTAATAGAACTTCACTAAAATAGTTAGTAGTATAGAAGCAAAATCTAGTATCATTATTAATATTGTTTAAACAAAATATTTTTGAATGCAAGGGGTTTCGAAATAACTTAAGTAATTATTTAGTTTAAGGTCAAATCAATTGAAAATGTTTTTGAAAGTTTCATATAGCTTGAAATCATGAACCAGATATTTAATATCTTTAGTGATATGCGATTTCCTTCAATTATTTATTTATTTATTTCTCTTAATCTATTATTTAGTTTTTATAACGAACTGATAACTGATTAAACGCACCAAAATATATGATTGTTTTCATTTTAGTACATTTATTTTATTTATGTGATGTGATGTATCAGTAATATATTTTTGTAAGGATTCAACATTATAAGTTTTTGATATATTTTAATAATTATTTACCAATGATGTGCATAATAATTTTTTTTTAAATTTATAATATTTAATATAAATATATAATTAATATAAATTACTATGTTAATAACTTTCGAATGTGATATTATTATAAATTAATTATTAATAACTTATTTATTAATAAATTATTTATTAAAAATTAATATTTCTATTGAAAAATAATTATTTTATAATTGATTTTTAATAATCATTTACCAATTATTTGCGTAATTATTTTTTCAAAAACTAATGATTTTTTTTATATCTTTAACCAATAATTATTTTTTAATTTTTCTATTTCTGTTTATGTTTTTTTTTTGTGAAATCTTTATAATTTTTATAATTTATTTTTTAAATAATATTTTTTTTTTAAATCTTTAAATAATAGTTTTTTTTTTAAATCTTTAAATAATAGTTTTTTTTTTTAAATCTTTAAATAATAGTTTTTTTTTTTTTAAATCTTTGAATAATAGTTTTTTTAAATATCTTTAAATAATAGTTTTTTGTGAAATAATCGTTTATTTTTTAATTTCTAAATAAAATTTTTTTTAAATATTAAATACTTAAAATATATAGATATTTGCACGCAAAACGGAAATTAAGCTGTTATTTAATACTTACATTTAATAATGTTTATGTTTATAGTTAATATTTATAGTTCATATCTATAGTTAATATTTATAGTTAAAATCTGTAGATAGTATTTGTAGTTAATATTTATATATTTCTTAAATATTAGTTTTATAATAATTATTTATTTTCTGTGTTATCATAATCTTTAAAATTTTAATATTATATTTGAAATTTTTTGCATTCAAATTATATTTTTATATTTATTAATAATTTAAATGTTGTTTAAATAATATTATTTTCTTTTATGTTTAAATTTTTTTTTTACTTAAGTTCATCTTATGTGAAGTGTCATGGTCGCGTCAAAACTGTCTCTTTGGGCTATGACGAAAATGCATGATATACATTTACCACTAAAAGACTGAACAATACTTTACCTAAGTGACGAGGCATGGACTCTCATGACCAAATTTGAACGGACATTTGTTTTTTTCTCTCAATTTCAATTTTATATTTTCATTGAAAACAATAATTTTGATTTTGACGAGCCCATGACACTATACATAACATGGCCATTCTGTTTTATATCAATAGCTATAAGTTCAAAGCTTCATATATTAAACATGTATAACATTTTCACTATTAGGTTAAATAATAATTTTCTTTTATATATATGTATACAAAACGCAATTGTTAAAGATATAATAATCAAATGGTATTTTCCTCCTTCTTTTCCCCTTTCCCTATGCTTTATTTTTTTTCAACATTTTTCGTTTACAGAGGCCGATTATTGTTGTATGGTGGGGATAAACTATGAACTAGTAATAATCTGATACAATTTAAATGCGAACTTTCCGATTTGAAAAGAGTATTATATTCTAAAAATAATTAAATGGAATTTGATTAACAAAGAGAAAGTTCAGATTCAGATTCAGATTAAGAGTGTGTAACGATGGCGACGGCAACACTTTTACCACTCGCCATTGGAAAAAGGATGTCGTATCGCATGCTTATTTAAATATGCTGTGTTTTTTTGCTGTAATGTGGAGACGGAGGTATATTGAATATGCGGCAATACGCTTAATAGCAACTTTAACAGTGCAAATAAAGCGTACCTCAACTCTACAGCTGTATATATTAAAATATACCTTGAATCCTATTGCGCAAACCTAGACGATATCCGCATAAAGTAAAAAATCATTTGATATTCTTTTCAATTATTATTGATTGCACTAAGATTCGTAGCTTGGTGTAATAATTGTGTATAACGTATCGCGATAGTTAATGTATCCCTATCATCACGCATCATATGTGGCCTCTGCTGACCCACTGTAAAGTCCGGGGTATTAGTGGGATCTAATGAAAGCGTAATTTGTTTAAATATTACAAGAGCTTACGGTCGTTTCATACACACACATAAACAATTGGAGTGCAAAAAGTGAGAGAAAGAGAATAAGAGAGCAAAAGAGAGAGAAAGAAAAGCCTGAAAGCCACGTTTATAAGTTTTAGAATTTGTAAAACGTGTTCTTAAATATTAACGGCGTTGTTTTTAATTATTATATTTGTTACCAGAACTCTCTCAGCAATGTACTCCAGCTCTAACGTTTTCAGATCACACGCAGGCACTTGAAACGGATTTTAAAAATGCATCTCCTACGAACGCTCTCTAAGCATGTAAAAACCCGATGTGTTCTTTGCCAATAATGAAAATTGTGTTAATTTTTTTTTTTTTTGTAAACAAAAATATAATGAACTTTTCGTTAAACAAATTGTTATTTAACAACTTTTAATAAATCGCGTTTAACCGATGTAGTTTAAAGAAAAAAATGAAAATTTGCCTTTAAAAACAGTGACGTACAAAACGAAAAAAAAAAAAGAAGAAAAGTAAAGGCGACGTAATGGTTTGGACGGCGTAACACAAATGTTGAGAAGCTGTTGCTGTTATTTGATCTATACGTCATGGAACATCACCATCACATCATCATTTGCAACGTCCAGAAACAACGTCGTCTCATCGAAAGGCAAATGGACTTGTTTTTATAAAGATTGTAAACTGCATCATTGCCAACATAAAATAAACATAAATCAACAAAGGACACATTTGGCCAGCTGCGATAATAAAGCGACGGAAATGCATAACCATACTAAAGTCTACATAATGCCTGTGTTAGTGATAATGTTGGCGTACACAAAAGTCTACACTTTCTATAGATGTTGTGCGCTAATCAATTTTTCGAATCGTTCTACGACTGATTCGGTTCAAACGTCTGATATTGTGTGTTGTTTAGCAAAAGATTGTTTAGATGTTTAGAATTTACTACTACTACATTTGGCTCTTTTCATCGTTAACGACAATAATTGCGACGAGAAGAGTTTCATATATATATAAAGCACTAAGGTAAAGTAAACTTCTAACTAAACATACAAACTTTTATTATATATTGCCTTACTAATGTCAGTCTTAAAAATATTTATATTAACCGTAAGCTTTAAACCTATGCAAGGACATTTGTTTTTAGTAAATTAAAGTGAAAAATGTGTGAGAAAGACCTTTTTAGTAAGAGAACGTTTGGCTATGAAAAAATTCAAAATTTATATTTTAATTACATTTTGGATGTATCAATGATGTGCTGTTTATATATCCACCAAATATTGTTTGATTATATTAGAATAAAGTATAATTGAGAAATTTTTTAATATTAATTTTTACTAATTTTTGTTTTATTTTTTTCCTTACAAATGTGTGCTAACAACAGATGTTGATGGCATTAAGTATGTCATTAATTTTGATTACCCACAATCATCTGAGGATTATATACATCGTATTGGAAGAACTGGTCGTTCAAATACAAAAGGCACTTCATATGCATTCTTTACCAAAAATAATGTCAAACAATCCAGAGCTTTGGTTGATGTGTTAAAAGAGGCTAATCAGGTAATATAACTATTTAAAACTAAATGTAAAATGTATATAAGTTATATTTACAATAAAATAATTACTAATTTCTTTTTTATTTATTTGTAATTTTTCAGGATATAAATCCAGCACTTGAAAATATGGCACGTAATACACGTGGTGGTGACAATGGTCGTTCGCGTTACGGTGGTGGCGGTAATTCACGTTTCAGTGGCACATTCAGAAAGGGTGCCATTGGTGGTGGCGGTGGTGGTCGTGGTTATGGCAATAACAACGGCTACAGCAATAACCACCGTTCAAATGGCTATGGTGGCAACAACGAAAATGGCTACAGCAGAAATGGAAACAGCAGTAGTAACGGCGGCGGTTCAAGGCATACACGTTTTAACTAGAGATAAATAATTAGGATTTAGTCGTAATTTATATATTAATTCCCTATTATTTAAATTCCACTGAATATTTCTTATTAAGGTGATACCATACAGACAAAAAGCTCAAAATTACTAAAAAGAAAAGCAAAAATTTTTTTGATACTTAGTCAGTACAAGCAGTTACCGACAACTAAATACCAATTAAATTTTTGTCTTACTTAAAAAAGACGTAATTAAAAGTTTAAAAAAGTCTCTTCATCAAAATCATGCATTCATCCTAAATTTTATTAATATGATTAGCTAAATTCAAATGTAAAATATGCCAGTTTCTACGTATCCAATATCAAGAATTTTGAAAAAATTGTTTTTTCTGATAAAATACAAAATGTACTACTTTTAAATAAAATATATACTGCAAAGGTATTAAAAGTAAAAGTATGCAATAACTTTAGTGTTTAGTTCAATGGTTAAATGTTTAAATGAATTCTCTTTTAATTTCTTAACTTTTAATTTTTATTTATACACATTTTGTAAATGCGCAACATTCAGTTTTTATTTAAGTAAAGTACGTTTAAAATCGATTATGAAACAAGAATATTTAATGTATTTCAGTATATAAATTTATACTCTGGCACAGTGTTTTATACCATAACAACTATCAAGTATTTTAAATAAATAAAATTATAAAAAAATATTGATTGAGGAAACTCGCAAATAATGCTTTTTATTTTACAATTTTGTGGTACTTAGATATATGTTTTAAAAGATTGTGTGTTATTTATAACTGATAATATATTATATATATATAATATATATAACACATATATTACGACTGATAATATATATATATATATATTATATAGATTTATATTAAAATATATACCTTCTGCTTAAAAAGTACTCGGATTTTGTAAATAAAACACATAAATTTAAATTTTTTTCCAAATTTATTTTATCTCCTTCAAAATATGCTCCTTCTGAAGCGATACACATATGCCAACGCTTAACGCAATCTTCCATACACTTTTCGTAGGCCCGTGAAGGTATGACTTTTAGGTCCTTAAGCGAATTCTCTTTTACCGATTCAATCGACTCAAAACGCTTACCACGAAGGGGCAATTTGAGTTTCGGGAACAGCAAAAAGTCGCACGGATCCAGATCTGGCGAATATGGTGTCTGAGCGATGACAGTGGTGCCGTGTTTGGTCAAAAAATCGCTAAATGCACTTGAGGTAGTCTCACATTAACATCACGTATAACAGATGATATATAATAGATATATTACAACAGATGACAAAAGATGATATGGTTGTAAGAACGGCGGAGTTTACGTTCCGGAACCAGTCGTCAATTTTGAGGACTAAGTGCCATTCGTTACTACCCAAAGGGAGTATACAATCCACCCGAGTTCAACAATAACGACAGCACGATATAACCTGATATATCAGATGACAACAGATGATATAACTAGATATATTATAACAGATAATTCAGTCGATGATATAACAGATAATACTATTAATGATATATTATAACAGATAATACAACTAATAACAGATTATAACAGATAACAACAGACTATTACAGATAACAACAGACTATAACAGATAACAACAGACCGTATAACACGATGTATTATAACAGTTAACATAAAAGATTTGTTATAGTAGATGATATAAGAAATAGCAGATATTACTGTATATGATGAAACGAAAAGTAATGTATGTAGTGGTTTTTATGACAGAATTTACTACATTTCGGTTTAAATCAAGTTCGTTGTATTTAATTAATTTTTTAATAATTTTTTTTTAAAAATTTCGAAGAACTTTGCAGAAATCTATAACAATTCGGTCTTTCATACTTTAAGGTTATGTTGTAAAAAGGTAGGACCAGCAATAGTTAGGAACGATTGAAAAATCGATGGTTTTCTAGCAATTACATGTATCAATATATTCAATTGTTCGACGTATAGCCGGTGGGAATAGTAAGAGAAATTGGAATAATAATAAGACTAGCAGTAGGAACAGAAGTGGCAGCAAAAACAAGAAAATTAATGAGAATAGGAATGACAATAGAAATAGAATTGGCTGTAGGGAACGGAACAAGAATAGCGAGCGAAATACAACCAATTATAGGGACAATAATAGGTAAAGAAATGGTAGATTAGATTTTAAATGGGGTGGGAACTTGTCGCCACATCACTGTATCCTTTAAAGATTATTGTGACAAACCCACTTTAGTTCCATAGACGAGTACGCAATTAAGTCCCTTGGAGAGATGTTTTCTAGTTTCGTTATGTGTAGATAGGTGATAAGTACCAAAGTCTGAGTCTGGCGAGACTATCACTGTGACACAGAATGTATTCTGCTCTTTTCTCTTTGTAATAAAGTCTACAGCTATCGTTTCTTGTAACACCTAGGTTCGACAAATGCTTTTTTACTCCGCAATGTTCAGTGAGAAACTGTGACAAGTCGGATGCCATTTCTATTCAGCTTGTTTTTTAGCTTGTCTGCAGGCAATTGCATTGTTCCAATCAATCTGAACTGCTCTTTCCAGCCATTTATCAATTATAAGTTAATTATAATTAATTATAAGTTAATTATAAGAAAAAGCTCTATAAAGGACATCAAAATGGTTGTGATCCAATATAATATGAGGCCGTCCCTTTTCTGCTTTCTCGTGTCTCTCAAATTCGCTGGGCTCTGGGATTTATATTAAGGGAATCGTTTCTTTCAGCAAGGTCTTTGAAGGCTTTCCCACCAATGTTTTGAGGTAACTTAAGGTGAGCGTAGTGATAGAGAAATGGTAATGGGAATATAATAAAAATAGGAAGAGCAATAGGAAGAGAAGTGGCGATAAAAATAGTAAGTTGAAGAGATATAGGAATATTTATAGGAATAGTAATAGGCATAAGAGGAGATATAGGAATAGCGATAGAAAATGGTGAATGGAATAGTGACAGGAATAGTAGCATAATTAGAAATAGCAATTGTAGTAGCAATAGCAATAGGTACTGTGAATAGGAATATCAATAGGAATGGATTTAGGGAAGGAAATTGCTACAGAAATAGCAAGAGGATCGAGAATAGAAAAGGGGACAACAATTGACTCTAAAATATTTCACAATATTTCACTTTTTTTGTGAGACGTAGCAATGGTCTATAGGTACAGCTAGTAGAATATAACAAACATATTAATATAAAATAATTCTAATTTTCTACCGTTTTAAATAATTTTTCATTTAAAACTTATTGATTTGACAGCAAATACTAAGGAAGAATGAGAAAAAAAATCACTTAAAGGATAAAATAAAGGAATTCAATATTGATTTTGTATACAACCATAAAAATTCTTTCACTACAGGCAAAACAACTACATTTTATAACAAAACTACAGCGCATCAGTGCCAGAATAACGAATAAGATTTGCGAATAATGGAGAATGTTTGGTTGAAAGTGTAAAATGGTGAGCTTCATCAATACAGCCATTACCGGAAGCGGAAATGATGTCAAATATCGTTATTACAAACTAAAAGGAAGACATATTGACATTAAATGCCGTCGGTTGCACGGTTTACGGAATAAACTTATTCTTGCACATACCCCGACGCATCTTTCTAAAGAATAATACTATCATTCTGGCAGGAATGACAGGAGTTTGGGTAAAAACAAATCGTTGTAATGTTGCAAGGAATTTCGTAATAATAATTGTAAGCGAAAAATAAGCGTGATTGCAAAAATATTTTCAGGCATCATTAAATGTAACACTTAACAAACCCAAAACTGTCAATCTAAACTCTTAGCACAATAGATTGACCCAAAATGGCAAAGGATACGCATTGTTACCTTAAGGGTGAGTTGGTGGACACTCACTCACTCTCTATTAAAACATTGTACAACATTTAAAAGGAATAAAGCCAATTCAATTCCTTCCGTTAGTATTTTTAAAATGCACACGTTCACACCATCGTACGTTCAACATGAATCGTTCCGATGTATCGAGCAGAATCAGAGCTGAAGTCATATCTCGAATGTTGTTCGAAAGAATTGAGGGAGCAACCGCATGTCTCCACAACGTGTGAATTTTGGATTTTCAGCAATGCGATTGGTTAACCGTTTTTCTTCGTCAAATTTTCACTTTATTCTGTGGTAAAAAAACTCATTTTCAATTCCCGCGAACGTGTAAATGAGTTGAACAAATGGGTTTGTGGTAAAGAATCTGAAGCTATCATAGGTTAAAAATGTTAAAAATGGAAAACTTACTTATTTGGTTTAAATTTAATTAAAAAAAATTCAATATTCTTACTTTCTATTTAAAAACGTCTTGATATTATACAGTCTCCTGAAATTCAGTTAAAATATATAATCACAAAAGAGGTCTCTTATGTCGCCATGCACTTTAGGTCACTTTTTCGTTATTGATTATGTATATAATTAATATTAATTTAGTAACTAGGAAAAATAAACTATAATAGTCTGCAATCTATAAGTTTAATTGCAATATTCCTGAATCCCTTAAGTTAACTTGGACGTATTGTAACGTTTGACAAATATAATTATGTGTCTTAGCTTTGATTCCGGACATCATGCAATCCAATGAAAGTCGAATGCAGGTAGTAGACTCCTTTCCTGGTAATCCTAGTAACATATTTTTGTATACATTCATATATTATAGGTGGGTAGAAAAAAATTTGGTCTTCTACCATATATAAATGGTAGCTTTAAAAAAAATTGATTCTTCTATTCGGAATACTGTAATGCACAA